ATTTACCGCTTTGATTTCCGAACTGCCTTCTCCTCCTTCCCCCGCCGGCCCCCGCACTGGGCTCCCACCTGTCTCCACGCCCACTGCTCTCTCCTGCAGTTTCCTCTCCCACCCGCCGCCGTGACCTCTCCCGCTCCTCCTCCCCGCGGGCTCCGGGACCTGCTTCCTCCCACGGGGGCTTCTTGTGCTCCGGGCTGTGCGGGGCCCGTGGCATCCAGGACAGTGCAGGATGCCGCGGGCAGGACTCGGCGCCCCGTGCCCCACCCCTGTCGGGAGGAGGACCAGGTGGGGAGGGGCCCCGGGGCCTGGGCTCTGGGCGCCCCCTGGAAGCTGAGGGGCATTAGGAGTTTTCCTACTGGCGGTGGGTGGGAACTGGATCTACGTACTGAGACTCAAATAATTGCTCGGGTCCATTTTAATCCTAGGTCAGTGGAGTGCTCTAAGGACTTGAACTGGGCTTGGTTTGTCAATGTCAGAGCTCGAAGGCTGCTCTCGGTCATGGAATATCTGATTCCGTTTCCGTCGTTTCTCACTTCCGCTGATTTAAGCCCCCTGGTTTCGTATGCCGGTGTGAATGGATAGATTTTCCGCGGTCAGGCTGTGCTGGCTTTGCTCCTGCAGGAGTGAGAAAGGGTTATCCAACCCAGGCTCTGCGAGGGGATCAGAGGAGGCAGCTTCCCACGTGAAGACCCAGGCTCCAGCGCCAGGCTGCACCCCCCCAAGTCTGGCCCCGGCGTTTTCTAGTGGGGTGCCCTTGGGGGTCACTTAGCCTTGCCCTGTCTGTAAACTGAGGCTCGTAATAGCCTGTCGCATGGCACTGTTAGGAAGATTACCTGTGTTAACTCAAAGTGCTTAAAACAGATCTTGGCATGTAGTACATTCTCAGTGAAGTTTAGTTATTAGTTACTTAATTGTATGCATTGACTTGATCATTCTATAATCCCACTAACAAAGGCACACAGGTTTGTTTGTGGGTTTTTTTTTTTTAAATTGGAAACCATTTTTAGGGCTGGTTAATCACAACATAACTTTATTATGAAGAACTCGATCGGGTACAGCAGTGAGGTGCGGATTTTTCTGCTTTCGCTGCTGTTGGGTTTCTTTGTTTTCAGGCACAGTTGGTTCAGTTCTGTCCCGGTGGCCCTGGGAGTTCAGCTCTGAGTGCTTTTCTAGAAAGGTGAAGGGAAGAGATTGTGACTCGGAGCATTGGGCTAAGTGGACTGGTTGTAGCCTACAGCACCAAGGAAAGGTTAGTCAGGCAAATTTTAGGAATCAATAATTCCAGGAACAGAAAGTGCATCTCATCCGGACGGTAGGATGGGGCTAACAGATTTTTCCAGTGACTCAGTGCTTGACAGCCAGCCAGACAGTTCCAGTGTTTTTCAGGGACAGGTTTGATGTGTTTCAAGGAGGGTAAAGTTTGTAGGGCTTTGTTGTGAAATTCCTGTTTTGATTCAGGTTATGGCATTATATGGGACAGACATGCATTAGTACGAGATTCCTTTTGGTCTGTCCTCTCTCCTAACAATGAGCTTCCCTGAAGAGGACAGGGTGGACACGGAAAGTTAGGCACCTAGCCATTTTTTCCCCTTTGGAAACTCTAATAAGAAAGAAAAGAATCATTCATCACCACATAATAACTCAAAGAGTGGGCCCTAAATAGTGTGTGCACTGAGACCTGGGAAGGGTAGAGACACTCCTTCCTTCAGCAGACTCTGTGGTTATGTGAAATGTGTTCTGGACATGGTATTAGAGCTGAGAATACTGGGCAGAAATGAAAAACCCTGACTACAAGGAAACCATGGCCAGTAGAGGGGACAGACTTGCCATTACTTAACTAATTAATGTAATGTAGCAAGTGCCGAAATGAAGTATGTCACAGGTATGTGGATACTCCCAGAGAAGGTCCTCTATCGCTAACCGCTTATGGGCTGTTTTATTCATGTCTCATCCTTCTCTTTTTCATTTGAGGCTTTTAACCTTATCTCTCTTATTGAGTTTTTATTCTACCTCAAGTTCTTGCCACATCTCTCAGCTTGTTGGCACAGACTTGTGGGAGCTTGCTTGGCCTGTGTCGGCAGACCTTTAGAAATGTGAGCGTACATTTCCGGGAATAGCCCTCAATCAGTAGGGGATGGGTCTCGGTGGGTGAGTGTCATAGTTCCTTATCCTTCAGAGGGACAGTTCGAGGGTGCATTTTTCAGAGGGACCCTAGCGGGACTGAGCCCCATTTGCCCAGCTTAGTATGGTAACCAGCTCCACAACGCACCCTAATGGCTTTCAGTTCTTTCCTGACTCTACTCTGGCTTTTTCTATTACTTCTGTGAGCTACTTACACACAAGTCACTTCTTAGTTTGGCAGAACATAAACTAAGACAGTTGGTACTAGAAGTGGCTCTAGAAAGCAGGCTCTGAGAATAGTTGGTGAAACTACAATCACTCGTCCTCAGATGGCAACAAGGACCCCTTTGCTGGTAATGAGGTGTTGACAAGCCCTGGTGCTTTCTACCATCACAATTGTAAGACTCACCAGTGGTGGATGGGGATGAGGTTCAGGTAGAAGGGAAGCACTGGCTAGTACAGTAGCTCTGGCACTGTACCTGTATGTGGCAAACAATAATGATAAGAATAGGAGAATTGACTGACTTTTTTATTTCCCTTAGAGGCCTTGAGGTAAGATCAATTTCAGGTCAGCCAGATATAAACTTAGGACACCCTGTGAAAGACAGAAGGCTGTATGGCAGCATCTTTTGCAGCTGGCAGGCAGACTGTATCGAAATCAGACCCAAAATTTAATCATAATTGTGGCAGAACTGCAAAGGAAGCTGAATGCACAGCTTACACAGGCTGCTTCTGCTAAAGTCAGGTGTGAGACCTGGGATAGAGATATTTGGATGGATATTCTCTGCTGTGTTGTAAATATTTTATAGGTTTACTTGTACATATAGGTTTGTTTGATAAGTATCTTAAGTTGCGATCTACAGGGGAACTCTGTGTTTTTAGTGGAGGACTAAGAATTTTCTTTGTATCAGTCAGTGTGCTTGTTGGCTGTTTCATTTGCCGATGGCTGAGTAATAAACCAACCCAGTACTTAGTGGCTTAAAAACAACATCAGTCATTGTTTGCTCAGGATCCTGCAATCTGTGTAGCGCTTGGTGAGATGGTCTGTGTCTGCTTCACATAGTCTGCATTGGGGTCTTCCTCAGGTTGCCCTCACTGGGAGCTCTGCTTCCTCACAGCGTGGCAGCTGGGCTCCAAGAGGACAACAGCAGCAACTGGAGGGACCCCTAAGGCGGGGACTCACTGCTGACACATTCTGTCAGTCAAAGCAGGTCACAGGACTAGCCCAGGTTCAATGGGAAGGGAAATGGGTTGAACCTTTTGGTTGGAAAAGTGGCGTGCACATGCACTGATGAAAAGTGTTGGCATCACTCTCCCTCCCCATTCCTTTCTCCATTCCTTGCTTCCATCTAAATGTGTCAGCTGCCATCAACTTATATTTTATTAAAGATTAAAGATTAATCTTTTCTTCTCTAATACCCTTGCCACTTTCTTGATATTTTTCTAGTGGTATTTCTGTATTTGGCATTTTGTTACAGTTTTGTTGGTCTTATCTCCCTCACTAGAACCTAAGTTCCTCTAAGGTGGGGTCTCTACTTTCTTTGTTTCCTCACAGTGTATGCTAGTTGCTCAATAGAGGGCAGGATGAATAAATGAATGAAAACAGATTTTAGAATTACCAAGATCAGTGTGTCCAGATGAAGCATCAGTTTATGGTGGGCAGTGTTTAAAAACAAAACAAAACGACAGTCTTTAGCTATTCCACTTGGGATTTCTCTTTCTAGTCAGCGCCCCACTTCCTAGGCCCCACACATTTACCAGCTTCTGCTCTTGGTGAATAAAAATTTATAGGCTATAGTTGCATTTTAACATTATGTATCAATATTTATATTAAGTAGTATATGTAGTATTAAATATTAAAGATATTACATAGCATATATTCATCTAGACAAAGAAGGGTCAAAATTCCTTTTCATTAGTTCATCAAACCACTTAAGGGAAAGAAATAGTTATATGGGAAGTTAAACAGTCCTTTTTATTGTCATTTGCCTAAAGACTTCATTTTTCTCCCTTTTCCACCTGGTAACCAGGAGCGTGAGGAAGAGGCTGTCTGTGCCATTATGTGTGCGTCGGTCAAGTACAATATCCGGGGTCCTGCCCTCATCCCAAGGATGAAGATCAAGCACCGAATCTACTACATCACCCTCTTCTCCGTTGTCCTCCTGGGCCTCATTGCCACTGGCGTGTTTCAGTTCTGGCCTCATTCCATCGAATCCTCCAACGACTGGAGTGTAGAGAAGCGCAGTGTCCGAGATGTGCCCGTGGTCAGGCTGCCGGCCGACAGTCCCATCCCTGAGCGGGGTGATCTCAGTTGCAGAATGCACACGTGTTTTGATGTCTACCGCTGTGGCTTCAACCCAAAAAACAAAATCAAGGTGTTTATCTACTCTCTGAAAAAGTACGTGGATGACTCTGGTGTCCCAGTCAGCAACACCATCTCCCGGGAGTATAATGAGCTGCTCACGGCTATCTCAGACAGTGACTACTATACCGACGACATCACCCGGGCCTGCCTGTTTGTTCCGTCCATCGATGTGCTGAACCAGAACACGCTCCGCATTAAGGAGACAGCGCAAGCACTGGCCCAGCTCTCTAGGTATCTAGCACTTGTGCAGCCTGGAGCCAAGTCCTTCAGGGAACTGAAGGGAAGGAGAGCCGCTTGAGCTGGCTCCCAGCTGCTGTCTCTTTTTCTCATGGGAGGGGATGTGGTGGGCGACTGGCTTGAAGCATGAGGCCAGTTCTGTGAGCAGCTGGCTTCTCCCAGTGAAAAGCAGCAGTCTGCCTTTGGGGCTGCTGCTATGGCTCACAACTTCTTAGTGTTTAAAAACTAAGGATGGCTCATCTTCCTGTACTGTTTCTTTTAAATTTAAATACTTTCCCCTCCCCTTTATTACTCACAAGTACATGATTACTGTAAAAGGTCTGAAAATACAGATAAACAAAAAGAAGAGTATAAGACTCATTCCATAATCCTGTTTCTAAGAAATAATCATTATTAATGTTTTGATGTTACTTTACAGTAGTTTTTGTCTAAAAATTATGCATATGCATGAATATATATTTTTGTATAAAAATATATGCATAGCTCTGGCTGGGTGGCTCAGTTGGTGGGAGCATCGTTCTGTACACCAAAAGGTTGTGGGTTCGATCTCCCGTCAGGGCATGTATGGGAGGCAACCAATTGATGTTTCTCTCACATCAATGTTTCTCTTCCTCTTCTCTCTCTAAAATCAGTAAAACGTAACCTCTGGTGAGGATAAAGAAAAAATAACACACACATATATACATCTTTTTTGTCAAGAATGGGATCACACAATACATACTCTCTTGCTGCTCTTTCCCCTTAAATAATCATGAGTATATTTTCAAATAATGTCATATTCTATTACTATATACTTTTAAGGGCTGTATAGCATTCCATTTTGCATATGTTCCATAATGTTTTTAACTAGCCTTTTATATTTATTTTTGTTTCTTTAACCAAATGGTACACCTTTAGAGAGTTTTCATTATCATAAGCAGTTCTGCGGTGGACAAGCTTGGAGTGAGTACACATCCACCCATTTTTTCCTTTCGAGGCTCCAGGCTAATGCCCAACATGCTGCTGGGATTGCTAGACGCTCCCTTTGCTGCCTGCGAAGTGGCTTGTTTCAGGTTGGGGATACTTGCCACTTGTCATCTTATAACTGACTCTTGTTTTTATTTCTTCATCATCGACGTGCTAATTCTCTTACATGTTTAATTTCTTCATAGGTGGGATCGAGGTACAAACCATCTGCTGTTCAACATGTTGCCTGGAGGTCCCCCAGACTATAACACAGCTCTGGATGTCCCCAGAGACAGGTAGGTGCGTTTGGGGTTGTAACTGTGACGGGTTTCTGAGGAGTAAGTAAGTACAAGACCCTTTTGTTCATGTGGAATCATATTTGTAAGCCTTTTGTAATCAGAATTGAGTGTTAAAAAGTTGCCCTAGGTATTTCCCACCTCAAGACATAGAATTTTTAAGACCTGCTTAAATCCCTTGTGGAGAACCGATGACAGTTTATGTTCTAGCATAACATCATAAAAAACTATATTTTTTTCCTTAATCTGGGTTATGCTCTTCTGAGTGCAGCACCCTCACCCCCCTAAGGCCAGGTTCATGAGTGGCTTGTGTCAACTCTGAATTTGTGAGCATTTGCCAAAAGTAGAGCCACAGCTTACTGAGGGAAGAGGCGTGGATGTGTGTAAGTCAAGCATGTCAAACTCGTGGCCCGCGGGCTGCATGCCTCATTTATTTGGCCCGTGTTAGCCTTTGAGTTTGACATGCTTGGTGTAAGTGATGCCCAAAATCTATAATGCTGGGAAAGGAGACCACTCTTGTTATCATTCTGTCTCTGTTGTTTCAGCTAATGGGGTTCTTGCCTTTCTTCCTTTTTCTTTCTCTCTTCCTCCTGTTCCCCCCTCTTCCCTCCCTCCCTCCCTCATTAACCTTCCGGACAGCAGATGTGGTATGGAGTGGCCATGATTATGTGATTATGATTTTGAATTCACTTACTATGTTTATCAGCCCTTTTATACATGGACTGACCTACTATGGCTGGAGGCATCGTGTGAAGCTCAGGACTGAAGTGCCGCTTAAGGTTCCTCTCCTGGTACTGGGTTCAAGGCTTTAAGGAGAACAGAAAGCTTGGGTCCAAGATAAGAGTCCTGGGCAATACTCGAGGTATAGGATTGTTATAAATTTATGCATGAACTCATTTATAGCCAGTTTTATTATAGTTGATGTTTAACTCTTAAAATCATTGTTACTGAAAAAGATGAGTGAACAGCTCAAGGCCAGCTGTGTTCTCAATTTGTTAGAGGCCAGTGTTTACATTTATGAAAATCTACACTCAGTACTACTTTCCCCCAGATGATTAAATCTAAGCCCTCTTTGCTTTAAGTATTATCTAGAGTCAGTGTTGTGTTTCTATCTGGAAATACAGTTATCACTAGGAGAAATACACAAGGACCACTCCTCAAGTTTGCCGTGGAAACCATTTTGGACAATAGAGGGCAGTCACGCTACACAAATTTTATAGAAACCACCTAAACCCAAAGTAATCCCTGATTTGGCTCTCAGCCCCAGTGTTCCTGAGTGGACTACTGTTTTATGGATTTGGTTGTTCTGGGAAAGGGAAATACTTTAGTGAATAGAGAAGGGAAGGAAAAGAGCTGTTAGGAATGCAATGTCTTCACCTGCTGTTCTTGGGTTTATTTTGAGAAGGGCTTATTTCTGTTTGAGACATTTTGCTTTTTGCTGACATCTTGGTATATGTAACTGCGTGGGAGAAGGATTTTATTTTTATCAAGTACACATGTTAAATAAGGTTTCATTTCTCTGCAGGAAAGTGTCAAGTAGTGAGGAGAAAGTTTAAGTTCTTGCTATTTCTTAGGTGTTAAGGATCAGGAAGGTTAAATTGTTTTCCCTGTGCATGTATTTTTGTAGTGATTAGAAGCAATCCTGTGGCAAGTAATGAATCACCATATAGTCCTCTATCTTTAAATGTGGGAAATTCATTTGAAACTTAGGTGGTCCCCTGGTTGGGGTAAGGAATAGAAGATTTGTTTGTTAATTTTTCTTATCCTTTGTCCTTATTTCTGGATTCAGAGGAGGCAAGAACCAGGGATATAGAATGGTTTCAGCAGGAGCTGCATATCAGATTATTCGGAAATTAGAAACTAGACGGGCTGGATTAGATTGTGTTTAAGATCTAAATTCATCGATGTGATTACTTTCCTTTTTTTGATGTGATTACTTAATTATTTTACTTGGGGAAATGCAAGGAACAGGTCTGAAGGAAATGTCTGCTCACTGAGTATCTTTTATGCTGCTTAAATATGTTTTTATTTTTCTTTCAATGTTCAAAAATCATACACATGGTACACATATACTTTCTTTGTGCAAGGTTGGAACCATATGCAAGTGTATAAAGAATAAAATTTAAAACTATGCTTTCAAACCCTCCTTTATTTTTACCCCCTTACTGAAAGGTAATCACTGCTCTCAAATACTATTTTTCTATGGGTTTATACACAAACTATGTAACTTTTTTTCTTAAAATCCTCACCCAAGGATATTTTTTTATTATCACCTCCTTACTGAAAGATAATCACTGTTCTCAAATACTATTTTTCTATGGGTTTATACATAAACTATATAACTTTTTTTCTTAAAATCCTCACCCAAGGATATTTTCTTCATTGATTTTTTTTAGAGAGAGTGGAGGGGTGGTAGGAAGTGGGGAGAGAGAGAGAGAAACATCGATGTGAGAGAGACACATCGACTGGTTGTTTCTCACACACGCCATGACTGGGGCCGGGGATCGAGCCTGCAGTTGAGATATGTGCCCTTCACTGGGAATCGAACCTGAGACCCGTCAGTCCTTGGGCCGACACTCTAACCAATGAGCAACTGGGCTACATATATATATATATTAATTTAATTGGGAGCATATTATACTTCTTCAATGCCTTACTTTACTGATCTTTGTTTTTTCAGATATGCTGTATAATATTACTTCCTTGGATTTTTATTCTTTCTTTGGACATATCTCTCACAAATTTCTACCTTGGGTGTATATTTGTTAATTCAAACTTGTTGTGGAGATTTTCAAACCTATATAGAAGAAGAAATGCTGGTACAGTGAATACCACGTACCCCTGTCCAGCTTCAGGAATCATCAACTCGAGGCCAGTCTCCATTCATCTGTACTCTGACCCAGATTATCTAGAGGCAAACCCCAGATGTTATGTCATTACATCCTATATAATAAAGGCTATATGCAAATCGACCAAATGGCTGAACGACTGGTCACTATGATGCACACTGACCACCAGGGGGCAGAGCTCAATGCAGGAGCTGCCCCCTGGTGGTCAGTGTGCTCCCACAGGGGGAGTGTTGCTCAGCCAGAAGCTGGACTCACAGCTGGTGAGTGCAGTGGTGGTGGCGGGAGCCTCTCCTGCCTCTGTAGCAGCGCTAAGGATGTCCGACTGATGGCTTTGGCCGGCTCCCGGTTAGACATCCCCCAAGGGCTCCCTGATTGCGAGAGGGCGCAGGCCAGGCTGAGGGACCCCCCTCCCCTGAGTGCACAAATTTTCGTGCACCAGGCCTCTAGTCTGTAAATATTTTTATTTGAATCTGCATGATAAGAGCTTTTCGAGAAACCTAACTATAGTACTAATATACCTAAAAATGAATAGTAAATTTTAAAAAATATTTTTATTGATTTCAGAGAAGAGAGAGGGAGAAAGAGATAGAAACATCAATGGTGAGAGAGAATCACTGCCTCCTACCCACTCCCCACTGGGGATTGAGCCCAAAACCCAGGCATGTGCCCTGACCAGGATCCGAACCATGACCTCCTGGTTCATAGGTCGACACTCAACCACTGAGCCATGCTGGCCGGGCAATAGTAATTTTTTAATGTTACTAAATATTTACCAAATATGTAGCCATTGCTCAAATTTACCTGTCTTATGGGTATTTTTTTTAATGTTTGTTTGATTCAGTAAATAAATACAGGGTGGGACAAAAGCAGGTTTACAGTTGTTCACATGAAAAATAATATAATTGTTAGTAAGTAATAATACAAGAATAAATAAACTGATTTGCATACTCACAACTGTAAACCTACTTTTGCCCTACCCTGTATGACCAATAGAATTGGTCAGCTTTTTTTTTTTTTTTTTAAACCTGAAGCTTTATATTTGAGGAATTTGCAGGCCTGGTTGCATGGGTGGGTTAAAGAAAGCCAAGGAAAGACTTGCAGACCAACTGTTGAGGCACTGTGAATGCTCAGATAGGAGGAGGAGAACTATGAGAACATCCGAGGAAAGATTTGGACTAGGGACCATGGGGAGGGTTCAGTGACAGAGGAGATGACGTAGAGTCAGGAAGTCCTGGAAAGTGCTAAAAACGCCAGAGGACATTTGAGTGATCTAACACTTAGCCTGGCATGAGTCTGATCATCATATTAATAATTTTTTAGCTGTGAGTTTTCTGCCCACTTTCTTGCAGCTTTGGAACTGATCTCTGATTTTGGGATGCGTAATGGGAAAACAGAATGTGCTTCTCAGAAGCTCACTTTTCAGTCAATGTAAAACATGTGTTTTTTAAAGCAAGGGGTGCTTACAATTATTTTCTCCATTGCAATGTTATGGAAACCTTGGCAGAAGAAGATGCAGTGACTTAAAATTGAAGTCTTGTCAGTGACAGGGTTGGTGTGAGGTCTGGGTGCCTAATGGCAGTTGTGGCTGTTTTCAAGATCACAAATGGAGATTGCACGTGTATGATTTGTGACGTTAAGACATGCTTTGGATTGCATGCTTTTTTACTATCAGTGCATAAACTGGAACAGGGTGAAGTTTGGGGCCCCAGGGACAGAATAACAGTAGAAGCTGGTGCTTCTTTTCTCACCACATACACACACCCCTCTCCTCGGGAGCTGTGGGTGTAATTACCTAATCACTCACTACCCTGGCTTACCTAAACTGCCCACTGCCTGTATATTGGCTCCGTGTCTGCTTCTCTGCACAGAGGTCATGGGGGCCCATACAGTCTGCTTGCCATCATGGTCATGGAACCTGCCAAATTCATGTTGGATGTATTCACTGCTGAATGCTAATCAGGAAGAATAAGACCGTATGTTGATACTAAGGATAGTCATTAAGTTTTACAGAGTAGACTGGCAGCTGGAGAGATTTTTAGCCTGCACATTACCTCACTAGCCAATTCTTGGTTTCAGAAAGCTTAAACAAACAGATTGGGATTTCCAGGGGTGGTTTGAAAATCTTTGAACTTTAACTGGTCATGTTAGAAGGAAATGCACACTGTCATCACAACAGGGAGGGGATTGGTAGCAATCAGTATTGCAAAAAATGTGGTTTCTCAGTTCAGACAGTTAGGCCTAGACTGTGCAGTGCAAGGAACTGGCAATGCTCTGCTCCAGTAAGTGATTTTGATGGCTTTGGAACCCCAAAGACAGAATAACAGTAAAAGTTGGTGTGATATACACCTGCTTCCTTTCTCTGATGAAGTGTCATTTTACTACTTGCTGGATCCAATTAAAACCGTGTGTTCCCAGCTTTCTGATTGAGAATAAAAACTAGTGCATGTGAACTGCAAGAGAAGCACTGAAGGTCCAGGTCTGGATTCTGCTTCCTGTACAGGGAATTGGGTTAACAAGATTAACTAGAATGGAAGGTGATTGCTGAGAGAGGCTACATGATTCACATGTAGCTCTGGGATAACAGTGGAAAGAACTGTTTGGAGCAGGATTGGAGAGAAGCTGGGGCATATGCAGTGAGATGTGATGCTTTGCTGTCACCGCTGCTTTCGGTGCCATTGTCTCCTGAGATTCTGGTCAATGAGTAGGTAAGTGACTGTCCCAGCCAGTCTTCCTTTCAGAACTGTTGTTATTCCTGTTATTGTAAATGTGTTTAACACCAGGATATGACTTTAGAGAGAGGTGAATGGGAGCTGAATAAGATAGCAGAGGGTGTCCTCTGGCCTGTCATCTATTTTTAAAAATGGAAAGTAAGGAAAGACTACTAGGACCTTGCAGGAAAGCTGGTAACTCAGGGATGGAATGCAGCTGATGTCCAGGAGATGTGATGTAAAACACTTAGCACCATGTCTTTATGGAGAAATGACTAAGTTAACATTAGCTGTTGTTGACTCAATTATAGCAGCTCCTTGAATAATGTCATTTCATTCAACTTCGTTTCCTTAAAGCATTCATGAGATGCAGTAGGAATTTAACTCTTGTTTATATCAATTAGCCTATGGTAAAATTGATTTCATTCTATGTTGTTTTGCTTAAGGGCGCAGAACCTATCCCAGCATTCATGAGATGCAGTAGGAATTTAACTCTTGTCTATATCAATTAGCCTATGGTAAAATTGATTTCATTCTATGTTGTTTTGCTTAAGGGCGCAGAACCTATCCACCATGTTAAGTGAAGACTTACTGTACTTCTGTCCCTTTCTACGGAGCTTATTAGCATGAAGACCTTCTTATTGTTTGACAAAATTTTTTGCTTTCAGGGCTCTGTTGGCTGGTGGTGGCTTTTCTACATGGACTTACAGGCAAGGCTACGATGTCAGCATTCCTGTCTATAGTCCGCTGTCAGCTGAGGTGGACCTTCCAGAGAAAGGACCAGGGTAAGGTGCACTCCGCACAGCCAGCTGTGCATTCTTAGAGCTTCCCCTCAGAAGCCTTCCAAAGTGAAGACATTTTTCTCCTCAGTATGTGTGTTCTGCCATGTGGTCTGGGACCAAATTATGGAAGTTACTTGAAATTTTATTCTTTAGACAATGTATAAAAAAGCTCAGATGAGATCAAACCATCTTTTACTCTACCCTTAGGGAAGTGCAAAGAAAGACTGGATCTTTCATGAATGTGTTGCTTAGATAAACTTTCTGAATATTTTTCTGTTCGTGGGCTCCCATAATTGACTTTTGTTTTTTTAATTGAGATATAATTTATATACCATAAAATTTTAACATGTACCATTCAGTGAGTTTTTAAAAATTGAGATATAATTGACATATAACACTGTGTAAACATTAGGTGTATATTGCTTGGATTTGATACAATTCAGTGGTTTTTAGTATATTCACAACGTTTGTATAACTATCATCATCACTGCTATCTAATTCCAGAACATTTTCATCACCCCCAGAATAAACCCAATACCTACTAGCTGTCACTCTCTATCCCTGCCCCTAAACTTCACACCCTCTGCCCCCAGCAACAACCGCTAATCTGCTTTCAGTCTCTATGGATTTGCCCATTTTGGACATTTCATTTAATGTCGTTATACAATATGTGACCTTTTGTGTCTTTTATCACTTAACATAATGTTTTCAAGGTTTAGTCATCTTGTAGCATGGAATCAATACTTCATTCCTTTCTTGGCTGAATAATATTTCATCATATCGATGGATATACCACATTTTGTTCCTTCATCAGTTGACAGACATTTCAGTTGTTTCCACTTTTAGCAGTTTTAAGTAATGCTGCTGTCAACATCCGTATCCAGGTTTTTGTGTAAACATATGTTTTTAATGCTCTTGGATGTATATCTTGGTGTGGAATTGCTGAGTCATGTGGTTACTCTATGTTTAACTTTTTGAGGATCTGCCAGATTGTATTCTAGAATGGCTGCACCAGCAATGTATGAGGGTTCCAGTTTCTCCATATCCCTGCCAATGCTTGTTATGTCTTTCTTTTTTATTCTAGCCATCAAAGTGGATGTGCAGTGGTATCTTATTGTGGTTTTGATTTGCATAGGTCTAATGATTAATAACGTTGAGTGTCTTTTCATGTTCTTATTGATCATTTATTGACCTCTTTAGAGAAATATCTATTTAAATCATTTGCCATTTTTAAGTGGGATTTTGTTTTTATTGTTGTTATGAGAACTTTTTGTATAGTTTAGATCCTTATCAGATATGACTTGCAAATCTTTTCTCTCATTCTGTAGGTTGTCTTTTCACTTTCTTGATAGTGTCCTTTGACACACAAAAGTTTCTAATTTTAGTGAACTCCCAATTTATTTTTCCTTTGGTTACTTGTGCTTTTGATGTCATAGCTGAAAAACCATTGCCTAATTCAAGGTCATAAAGATGTACACTTATGTTTTCTTCTAAGAATTTTGTAGTTTTATCTTTTACATTTTGGTTTTTGATCCATTTTGAGTTAATTTTTTATATAGTGTGAGGTAGGGGTCCAACTTCATTCTTTTACTTGTGGATATCCAGTTGTCTTAGCAACACTTGTTGAAAAGACTATTCTTTTCCCATTGAATGATCTTGCCACCATTGTTGAAAATTAGCCGGCCATAGATGTGTGGGTTTATTTCTGGACTCTCAGTTCTGTTCCATTGGTCTATGTCTTTCCTTATGGCACTACCCTACTCTCTTGATTACTGTAATTTTGTAGTAAGTTTTGAAATTGGTAAATGTGAGTCCTCTATTTTTGTGTTTGTTTTTCAAGATTTCTTTTTGGTAGCTATTCAAGGTTCCTTGATTTTTTTTTTTTTTATCCTCACCCGAGGATATGTTTATTGATTTTAGAGAGAAAGGAAGGGAAAGAGAGAGAGAGACATCGATGTGAGAGAGAAACATCAATCGTTTGCCTCCTGTACATACCCCAACTAGGAATCGAACCTGCCACCTTTTGGTGTGTGGGATAATGCTCCAACCAACTGAGCCACCCAGCCAGGGCAAGGTTCCTTGACTTTAATTACTTTTAAAATAATGCAACTTGAATAAGTACAAATAAAAAAACAATCTAAACTCTTTGTGCTTATACAACTACAAAACTAAAACAAATTTACAAATTAAATACAAACAAATCTATAAAACTATCATTAATATCATTCAGATTAACATAATGTGATGGCTGGGGCTTTTTCTTTGAAACTGAATTGCATTTTTCAAGGTGAACATGGAGTTAAAAAACTGTTAAAAACTGTTTTGGGTTTGACTTACCTATACTGTTGTATGCTAGGTGATGCTGTCTTTCATACTGCTTTTTTAACAATAGGAAGCTTCCCTTTATATAGCATTATATTATTACTAAAGGCCCGGTGCCCGAATTCGTGCACCAGTGGGGTCCCTCCGCCTGGCCTGCGGGATTCGGCTGAAACTGGCTCTCTGACATCCCCCGAGGGGTCCCGGGTAGTGAGAGGGTGATCAGGGCAGGATCGGGGCCAGGGAGGGACGCAGGAGGTTAGCCAGCTGGGGAGGGATCGTGGGAGGGCTCCCGGGGGTGTCCTACCCATCTCACTCAGTCCCGATTGGCTGGACCCCAGCAGCAAGCTTACCTACTGGTTGGAGCATCTGCTCCCTAGTGGCCAGTGCACATCATAGCAACTGGTCAACTGGTCAACTGTCTGCCCCTTGGTGGTCAGTGCACATCATAGCGAGTGGTTGAGATGCATTAGCATATGATTAGCATATTACACTTTGATTGGTTGAAAGGCCAACTGGCCGACCGGACACTTAGCATATTAGGCGTTTATTATATAGGATCTTTATCTCGTAGAGATGCACAATTCATATCCCTCCCCACATTTTATTATGAAAATCTTCACTCAGACAGCAAAGTTTAGAAAAATTTTAGTCCACTGAATACAAACCTGAATATTGAAAAATACTTAGCAGTATTCATCATTAAATATGAGCAAAATATGCCTGTCCTAATTTTTTTGGATCATCATGAGGTGAAAATTAAAAAATAATTTTTACAGAAAATTTGTAGACTGGAAAAAATGATATAGTTCATGTTTTGTTTCAAGGCTGGATTTCCGTAAAATGAAAAGGATATTCTGTGTTAGTACAGCTTGTACTCTTTGGGGTGGTACAGTTTCTGTCATCCACTGGTATCTTAATTTGGTATATTTATGTAGCACTAGACATGAGTAACTATAATAGGTAGAGAAAAGTCAATTGAGGTTGAAACAAGTTCACTCCTCTGCTTGCAGCTTCTGTGAACATTTACTGAAATTTAAGTCAGTTGTGTGATTTCTGAAAGTTTTTTTTAACCCTTTGCTTTATTTTTCCTGAAGTTCTGGAAATTGTTTTAGTCAGTTCAGTTCACTTCAGCTCAACTCAAACCTTTATTGGAGGCCATTTGGACCAAGTATGGCGAGGCTGCTGGTTCTCAACAGGGGAAGAGGGTTGATTTGTCCCCCTGAGAACATTTTGTCCCCCTCCAATATATGGAGCCATGTTCCACTGTTATCACTGAGTGGGTGTGTGTGGGGGTGCCCAATAACAGCTTGAATTTCAGTGATTTGCCAGAAGGACTCACAGGAGTCAGCATGTAGTTGTACTCTCGCTATGATTTATTGCAGAAGGATACAAAACATAGTCAGCAAAGGGAAAAGGCGCCTGCGGTGAAGTCCAGGGAAACCAAGTGCAGGCATGCAAGGGTCCCCTCCCAGTGATGCCACACAGGACTGCTTACTTCCCCAGCACAAGTTGTGACAACATGTGTGAAATATGGCCCACGGGGAAACACCTTAGAAACTCAGTGCCCCGGCTTTTTATTGAGAGCTAATCACACGGGCATTCACTGCCTGGCATGTGCCAAACTTCCAGACTCCCAGAAGGAAAGCAGATGCTCAGTATAAGCCATGTCACTTGTACAAACAGTTTGGGCACAGTTCTTTTTTAAAAATGATTTTTTTAATCCTCACCTGAGGATATGTTTTTAATTGATTTTAGAGAGAGAGGAAGGGAGAGAGGGGGTGAGAGAGAGAAACATTGATGTGAGAGAGAAACATTGATCCGTGACCTTCCTTATGTGCTCCACCTGGGGATTGAACCCACAACCTTTTTTTTTGGTATACGGGATGACACTAACCAACTGAGCCACCCTGCCAGGGGCTTTGCCCCCCCCCCCTTTTAAAAATATATATTTTATTGATTTTTTTACAGAGAGGAAGGGAGAGGGATAGAGAGTTAGAAATATTGATGATAGAGAAACGTCTATCAGCTGCCTCCTGCACATACCCTACTGGGGATGTGCCTGCAACCAAGGTACATGCCCTTGACTGGAATCGAACCTGGAACCCTTCAGTCCGCAGGCCGATGCTCTATTCACTGAGCCAAACCGGTTAGGGCCCGGGGGCTTAGCTCTTATCAGTTCTGGGGATGGTGGGAAATCTCCCAAATGGAAGTTCCCACACACTAGCCAAGGGCCAACCTTGCAAAAGAAAATAGTCAGGCCTGCTGTGTTACCTGGCATCTGCTGGGTGGAGGCCAGGGATCCACTAACCCTCTACAATGCTCAGAGCAGCTCCCCTCAACAGAGAATCATTGGATCCAAACGTCAGCAGTGCCAGGAGCACCCCGAGAGGCCTGGCTGAGGCAGAGAGTGAGCTGAGAGGATCAGGTCTGTCAGGTTGGTTTGGCGGCCTCTGTGCCTCTGTCTTTCTTTTTTTTTTTTTTTTTAATATATTGAGGATCAGGTCTGTCAGGTTGGTTTGGTGGCCTCTGTGCCTCTGTCTTTCTTTCTTTTTTTTTTTTTTAATATATTTTGTTGATTTTAGAGAGAAGGGAGAGGGAGAGAGAGAGAAACATCAATGATGAGAGAGAATCATTGATTGTCTGCCTCCCGCACCCTCCCCCCCCCCCCTTGGGGATCGAGCCCTCAACCCAGGCATGTGCCCTTGGCCGGAATTGAACCTGGGACCCTTCAGTCCGCAGGCGGATGCTCTATCCATTGAGCCAAACCAGCTAGGGCTCTGTCTTTCTTAAGACTGCTTGAGCTAAACTCTCTTTACTATCTGATCTCTCCAGTATAATATCACTCTCTTATGTTGGTTTATGACTCTTAATTCCCTGCAGATTTAATCCAGGACAGAAAACAGACCAAAAAGAGAGGATGTAAAAACAGAGAACAAATCACGCTGAACAGTAAAATTATTTTTAAATAGTTTCAAAGACTTAAACTGCTATATTGGTATTATTTTCTTAGTGAATATCTCTAATTATTGTATATAATTAGACTCAAATTTAAATCTTTAGATCATTTAAGTTCTCAGTGAGTTTCTGAAATTCTTTGCTTCAATAACTAGATACTGACATGATATATCCTCAAGGGCAACAGCAGATGTTAAAGGCTGCACTGGGCATGATCCTCCCTCTGCTGGCCAGTTGGTGCATTTCACATCTGAATGTGGACCCACATTTCCCCTCTAGCTCACAATTTGGCTCTGCAACTGGGGTGTTTCTTTTATAAACAACCCCCCCCCCCCAAAGTAAAAATATAAGGCAAAGACAGGCTCCAGACTCATCCTTTCCAGGGACTTGGGAGGAGGCAGGGTGGGGGACCTCTTGGCTGCGTTTGGTATTTGTTGCTCTTTGTGAGAGTTGCTTTTTAAGGGAATTCCCACATCTCTTGAGGGCTATATAGAGTAGCAAGAACTTTGTTTTTATTTTTATATTAAATCCCTCTCTGTTTTTTCAATGGGAAGCTGAAGGTTGTTGCTATTGATAGTTCCTTCTCACAGCTGTGCTGGCCTCAGCTGGAATTCTTGTCATTTTCTCTCTAAAAGGAACTAAATTGGGAGTTTACAACTGTTACTGTTGAGGGAGACTTCAAATTCTCAGCATGATTTTACTTAAACTTAGATATCAGCACTGCTGAGAGGAACCATGAAAGTCATAGCCAGTAATTTTAGTCCTTAAAAGAAAAACAAATCCACCTGAACATTTTGTTTGCTTAAAACTAAAATGGGCATGCTCCATCAACCATCTGTCAGGTCAGGGAGAGCCAGCATGACGCAGGGGAACATTTCAGACTCTTGTTCACATCTGCACATTTTTGTTGAAAATGGAGCAGTAACAGCAGGGATCCAGTGGTCCTGTGACTGACTGCTCTGGGATTCCCAGCTGCCCCCTCACCTCACTTGGTCTCCAGCATCCCATGGGTTGCCATAACTACCTCTACCCCTGTCCATAGTGCAGAAACCCTAGCCAGTCACCCTTTTAGGGCTCTGACACCTGAGCTGGGCCACCTCCCTGCTATTCCCCAAGTAGAAAGTCTTACTCCACAAGGCCTTCAACACTCCATGTGGGCCACCCTCATGCAGAAACACCCTCTTCCTGCTAGGACTCCAACACTACATCGTCCTGCATGGACACCCTCTTGGATGCCAACATGCCTATTCTTGCAGCTAGAGCACCCTTTTTTGTTAGCAGCTCTACTGAACTAGAAAGTCTCCAGAAACACCCAGCAAGTACCATGTTCCAGGGTCTTAGGGATTGGAAAGACCCTTAGGGGCCATTTAGCCTTAACTTGATGCATGACTTTTCACTATAATTTTGAAACAAAAAGTTTTCTGATTTGTAATAAGAAAAACTCTTGCAGTCCACATCATTTTCAGATAGCTTTAATTGTTGAGGTGGTTTCCCTGCTTATCTTGTGAATTGGGTTATAGCGCTTTCTCCTGTTTAAACAGACAAGATTGATTATGGAAATACTTTGAGGTGATCTGAGAGTGCTCCCTGTATCTGGTCTTTCCACCACTAAGTCATTCCTCCAAAATGAATGCTTTCGCAAAAGAAAAACTGTTGGGGCTCAGAGCTGGGAATAGAAACCAAGAGTCTGTTTCAGTGTCCAGAAGAAACACGTTAGATGTAAATAATTCAGCTTATTGTTCAGTAAATTACAATTTAGGGGGACATTGCCCAGGATGAGAGGAACCAGTCGGTGCAGTTGATCCAAATTGTCTCCCTGATGGGATGCTATTCCATGTGGCTCTTATTCCCACTTACCTTTCCCTGGGCCTCTGGGTCTAAGCTACCTTATGGGGCAGCTCTAGCAAACAGAACCTCCCGTGTTGAGGTGGTGGCCTGCATTTGTGCTGTCAGGCACCCACTAGCCACATAGGGCCCACACTTGAAATGAGGGTGATGTGGCTGAGGAACTGAATTTGAAATTTTAATTAATTTAATGTAAATGGCCCGAGGTGGCTAATTGCTATTGGACAGTGAGGTTCTAGGGAATCGGCTTATTCTTTTCTTTCCTCACTGTGGTGTGGGCAATGCCTTTTGCTTTTAGTTCAGTTGTACAAAGAAATTACAAAAAAAGTGGTTCTAAGATTTATAAGTAACCCGGGGCTGTGGTACCTGTTGCTCTGTTTTCTGGGGTCTGTGAGCTGATCTGGCTGGCCAGGCCAGTTCACCTTCTCCATCAGCGCTCTGTGTGGTCTGGACCTGAAGCTTAGCGCTCAGTAAAAGATGGGCCCTCAGAGAATGATTGATTAGTCTTTGGCAATGGATATATGAACCTTTAAATAAGAAACTAAAGAAAAGTGAAACGATTACCCCCCCTTTCTTCCCAAAGCAAGGAAAAAAGAGAGCGAGATGGTTCACAGAGCATAGGTTTTTGGTCCTTTCTTATGAACAGACTCATGTTATCATCCAGCCTATGAGATGCACAGCCCTCGTATTTCCTGTGCTCTATACCAGTTAGAGGTAGATTTAAATGAGCATTCAATCTCACGAGGTGTGATGGGCATTTCATTTCCTCCTGGAACCTGCTTTGTATTACTCTTTTCTAGTGGTCTTTCAACCCATATAGGGTTTATGCTCTGTAACCTCTCTGTTTTCTGGGAATCTTGCCTTCCAGGAGGGAATTATGTACCATATGGTCACCCCAAAATTTCCCCCTTGACTCTGGCTTACTAGTTTTGTGTCCTCATTTTTTATCTCTGATGGAGTTCTAAATGGTACTAGGCCCTTGGGAATCCTTTCTTCACTCCATTTTCTTTTAAGCATCCTTGTTGTCCAGATGTTAAGACTGAGTCCATCCTCTGGTAAAGACTTTTTTCCACCTGTTCCCAGTGACCAATTCAGTGTTCCTGATGGCGGCTGACCGCCATGGAGCTGTCTTTCCCTGGAGCTTCTTCATAGCACTAGGTGCCATTCAACAGCCAGAACAGTCCTCCTCTCTCCTGGTCTTACAGCCAGTGCTGCCCTTCAAGTTTCCCTCTTCTCCCATTTGCAGGATGCAGCCAACTCTCAGTTCCTTTTCAGATCAGAGAATCAGCTATAGATAATGATAACATGTTGATGTTTCTTTTCCAATCAACCAGTCAGTCAGTTTCTCTCTTTTTACACACACACACACACACACACACACACACACACACACACACACGTATTTTAGCATGCTAAGCTTGGCTTGGCATATTGTAAGCAGTTCCTCAAAACATTAAGAATTTTTTCCAAGTAAAATTTTTACCTATGGCATAATATTTCAGCATGTGAATGAGTCACACCTTACTCTCGTACAGCATATAATATTTTAAACAATCAGCCATGCTAGAGTATTATTTCCCAAAAAGTCAAGAGATGTAGAAACTGATGAGAAAACACTACTGGCATACGTTTAATGTCAGTTTGTCTTACCTTGACTGCCACACCAGCTGCAGCTTTCCAGTCACCTTTTCCCTCCTTTCTAGTCCCCGGCGATACTTCCTCCTGTCGTCTCAGATGGCTCTGCATCCCGAGTACCGAGAGGAACTGGGAGCCCTCCAGGCCAAACACGGAGAGTCAGTGTTAGTCCTAGATAAATGCACCAACCTCTCCGAGGACGTCCTTTCCGTCCGCAAGCGCTGCCACGAGCATCAGGTCTTCGATTACCCCCAGGTGCTGCAGGTGAGTGTCATTCATTACCTCTCTTGAGCCTCGGTAGAGATCACTTCCACAAGGTGAAATTAGCCCCGACAAACAGGAGCTCTCTCCACTGGCAGCCAGGAGAACTCCCCCAGGGGAGGAGGAAGCGTAGTATTGCTCTTTACTGGGTGCTTAGACCTAAAGGTGCTTTGATGTCTGGCATAGTGTTTGTGCAAAGCTGCTTGGCCTGTGAGTGTTCATAGGCCTTTCAAATATTCATTATACTTCAAAAATGCAAATGTGAGAGGTCTACCAAGAAGCCACATAGACAAAGCAGGCAGATGTAGTTTGCTTTTACACCTGTATTCATAAGCCAGTCAGAGAAATGGTCTTCTTTAAGCGGCAGCTTGAACCCTCTGACTGCTAGCCCACAGGCTACAGTCAGCTTTTCCTGGGCGTGGAAGGTCTTTATTTTTAGTCATTGTTTCGTTTTTTGGTGTTTAGCCACCCTTAGCATGTCCTACTGGTGGCATGTCCTGTACTTAAATATACATAACCATGGGCAAAGCAGTCCTTTTGGGGGTGTTTTATAAGCAGGATATTTGACATTCAAAGGGCATGGGGGCTAAGAAAGGAGACGTTGAGTTTTGTTCACTTACATATTTAAGATGCAGACAGGTTAGTTCAAGGGGAAATATCAAGGTGCTGGTATGATTTTTTTTTTTTTTTAATCTCCAAAGAGAACCAGCCCATGCTGAGATTGTTAAAATACTTTCTCTCAAAAAGTGCTGCATCTTCTCTGGAATGTCTGACTGATAACAGTGGTGATGTGAACAGGAGTATTTATAGTAACCTTTGTCTAGACAGGAAAAATGGTTATCAGCACGTGTGTCCACATCTGGATGCCGACTCCTCAGGGCGGCGGAGCTGTCCACCTGCGCCTCTGGGCGCCATGACTGATTCTCTTCTCTGACTCTTGCTGCTTCTCTTATTTATCCCCAGAGGAGTTTGGCATATTGAGTTTTTTCACATTTTTTTCTAAATGTTCCTTTCCTCTAGCTTTAAAGATTAAATAGTCTGTCTTTTTTAAAATCTTTTTTCTCCTGACGAGGCAAAAACTGAGAGAAACTGAGTGTTAGGTCTTTTCTTATTTTGGTTTACCAAATGCAACTATTTTTCTTCCTGTGCATCTCTTATTTTCCCAGATGTTCCCCATGCTGAGGGAGTGAATGAGGAACATCTTTTGAGATTTTTCATTTTGTCCGATTTATTTTTTCTAAATAGAACATTTCTGTCTTAATGTGTTTTCAAAGGTATTGCACTCATGAAATGACTATCTTCTATATGCAGAGCACACTGCTAGATGCCATGGGGAGTGGAAAGATGAAATGAGATTTGATACCTTTGCCTTAGGGGGTCCTCTAGAGAACCCGATATGCCCAGACAAAATAATTCTGTTACATGGTAGGCTGCGGTATGTACACTGTGCCACATGTATTTTCATGGTACCATAGGGCTGAAAGAGACAGTCTGTGCGAAGTCATATTGTTGAGTGTCCAGAGAAGACTTGGACGTGGGTTTTAAACATTTTCAGGATGCCAGCAGAGGAGGCATCGAAGTAACACTGAAGAGCAGAAGGGTGAATTAACCATTGCATTTTTGTGTCAGGATGCCTCAGTGTTGCTTGGCTTCAGCCTTTGGGAGAACTTCATGCTCTGCAGGGATCACAAGCGGATCAGTGAAACTGGTTTGTAAATCCCTCCTTCTGCTTCTGTTCCTGCAGGAGGCTACTTTCTGTGTGGTTCTTCGCGGGGCTCGGCTGGGCCAGGCGGTATTGAGTGACGTTCTACGGGCTGGCTGCGTCCCAGTTGTCATCGCAGACTCCTATATTTTGCCTTTCTCCGAAGTGCTTGACTGGAAAAGGTGGGTGTTACCTTCTAATAAATTTTACACGAGTGGTTCTGTGTGTATTAGATTTCAGAAGCCTTCGAGTAATTGTGATGCCTTCCTAAGTGTGAGAACTACTTCTGCATTGGCCTGGAGCAGAGATTGTGAACCAAATATGGCAGATTGTCGGTTTTATAAATAAAGTTTTATCGAAACTCAGCCACACCCTTTCACTTACATATTGTCTTGTGCTACAGTGCCAAGAGTTGAGTCGTTATGGCAGAAATTGTATGGCTCACAAAACCTAAAATATTTGCTCTCTGGCCCTTTACAGAAAGCATTTACCAATTCTTGGCCAAAAAGCAGCGGTGTATAGAGACTGCAGGGTATACTTACCTGGAGAACTTTTCAAAATGCCTGAGCTTAGCCTTAGGAATGCTGAATTTTAAAGCTCCCCGGTATAATTTATAAGCCCATTTGAGAACCATTGCTCTGGAGTCTTTATTGAGTTTGCATAATGTGACTAGCTGGAGGTGGAGTGCCTCCCCATGGATGAAAGCTTAGAAACATTCCTAGTGGACAGATGGACAGACAGAGGCTCTGCTTGGTTATGGCTGTTAATGCTATAAAAACGACTAGCTGGAAGTGGAGTGCCTCCCAAGGATGAAAGCTTAGAAACATTCCCAGTGGACAGATGGACAGACGGAGGCTCTGCTTGGTTATGGCTGTTAATGCTATAAAAAACAGACGAGCCCAAGAGGCTCATGCTATTTCATTTCCCTAGGACTTTGGAGGTTAAAGATTATTAGAAATTAGTTTCTTTTGTATATGCTTCTCAGGCTTGACTTGGTCTTAAATGCTTAATTGCTTTCTTCTCTCCCAGTTTTTTTGATATTTCTATCCAACTATGATCACTACAGATATTTGAATAATTTAAGTAGCATTCATTCATATGTGTATTCATTCATTCATCTCACATTTATTGGGAAAACTACTGTGAATAATACAGTCTCTGCTATTAAGGAGGTTAGAATCTAGTGAGGAAGACAAACCAATTATAATATTGTGTGTTAAGGGCTATAATAGATGCATGCACAGGGGGGCGATGAAAGCCCAGAACGTAGGAGGGAGCCTAAATCAGCCTGGAAGAGGAGGGTTTGCAATTCTTTGTACCTAAGAGAAGTGATGAGCCACTTGCAGTCATTTATACATCCATGAAAACATGATTGCGTGTCTTCTATTTGCCAGATACTGTGTTAGGAATGGGGATACAAAGATGATCAAGGTCAGACTTTACCTCCAAGAAGCACATAGTTTGGTGGTGGCAGATAGACAAGTAAACCAGTAATTACCAAATACTGTGATGAGACTCAGCTCTGGGTGGGGTGCTTGGAGAAGAGTGAGAAGGAGACACATACCATTGCTGGGGTGGAGATGTGAGGGCTTTACAGAGGCAGTGACCCTGAGCCAAGTCTGAAAAGATATTCCTATGGAAGCCAGATCTGCTTGGGTAGTTGAATATTGGATAAGTGGTGGAAGGGCTCTGGATTTGGAGTCATGGAGCCTGGCTTCAGATAACCAGCTAGCTTGGTGATCTTGGCAAATCATTTAATCTTTTCTGAGCTTTGGTTTTCCCATCTGTGTAGTTGAAATCGTGTATTTATTTAGCAAATATTTATTAAGTGCTAACTGTATGTGCTAAGCAATGTACCAGATGTTCAGGATATGCTGGTGAGTGGAACTAGGTGTGGTTTCCATCCCAATGGACTAGTCTACTAGTAGTGTGGGGAGGGCTTCAGATTTTAATAAATAAATCTATGCAAATGTAATTGCAATCTCTGCTCAATGCCACGAAAGGTAAGTCACTGTTGAGTCCTCCCTTTCCCTTACCTACTATATCTGACCTGTTAGCAGATCCCGCCGGCTCTCCTCTCTCCTCTCTCCTCTCTCATCGCTTTCATCAGTTCCTCCCTCCTCAGCAAGTCTTGCCTAGATTTGGCCTCGGCCTCTAGCTGTTCTCCCTGCTTCTGGTCTTGGTGTTGGTGGTTTGTTCTAACACTTTAGGGAGAGTGATCCTGTGGAACATAATCAGATCATGCCATGCTTGCCTAAAATCTCCCAGTGACTTTCTACCTCAGTAAAAGCCCACGTCCTTACAGTGGCCTATATGCTTTGCTGTAAACCTCCCTCCCCGGTTTCTGTTCATCTCCATCTTCGTTACTGTTCTCCAGCCACACGGGCCTCATTGCTGTTGCCGGAACATTCCTGACACGCTGTTTTCCCAGAGCCTCTCACTTTGTTAGTCCTTCTGCCTGGAGTGCTCTTCCCTCAGGTATTCTCATGGCTCTCTCACTCCCATGCCTTCCTTGTCTGCTTTGTTCACTGTCGCATTACCAGCAGCTGGTTCCTAACAGGGTCTCCATAAATACGTGCTGAGTAAATGAATGGATTGGGTGTGCAGTCCAGCTGAAGTAGAAAAGTGCTTGTGAGTTCAGAGTGGGCACTGGAGAGTGAGGAAGAGTGTGCTACTCTCCAGAAGGAATGCAGAGGGAGGGGGGCTGAAGGAGGTTTGTCATTTCTGCTTGTGAGAATTAAACAGGCAATGTCTGTAGAAGTGCTCTGTGAAAGGGCTGTGTGTATGTAAATTGTTCTGCTGTTGTTTCCAGAGCCTCTGTGGTTGTGCCAGAAGAAAAGATGGCAGACGTATACAGCATTTTGCAGAGCATCCCCCAAAGACAGATTGAAGAAATGCAGAGGCAGGTAAGAGGCCAAGCAGTAATTAGGTATCTCTTTTCCTGAACCCTCTAGTCACGAGGGCCAGTTACCTCCTCTGGTGGTGAATGCCCTACATTATGTCAACCTGCAGAAGAAAGTGGCACTTTCCTGTCTCCCTTTCTACGTCTCTCTCCTGCTTTCTGATGCCCCCTTTCTCTGTGCTACTTTGAGACCTTCTAAAGCACTCCATTGATGTGCCCCTTCTCTGAGTATCCTATGTTCCAAAAATGATCTCTTTTCCCAACCCCATATTTCTAGACTGGACTGATCTCAACTAGAGGTGAGATTATCAGGTTGAAGTAATTCCCAGATAGGTATAAAGGTTTAGCCACTAGATGCCAATAGCACACTCTCATCCCAAGTTGTGACAATCGAAACTATCTAGACATTGCCCAATGTCCCCTGCGGGACAAATTGCTTCGATTGAGAGCCACTGTTCCATTGATAGTTAAGGTCTCAGCTCTAAGGTTAGAGAGAGTTCTTTTGTTCTGTAGGACCCTTTCCAGAGTATGCTGGACATGTTGCCCTCTGTTTACTGTCCATCAGTTTAAAACTGACCTTGGCAGGAGTAGCTGAAAAAAATAGCATGCAACTGGTTCTGGGAAGTTTTACACCTCAGTGAATTCTCTTTGGGGAGGTCTCATTTGGATCTTTTTGTAAGACAGGCATAAACCTCTTGCCTCGGTGGTTGATCCATAGAGCCCCTGGTTGGTATGCCAGAGTGACCTGAGGCTGAGGAGCCCAGTGATTTATTTGCTGAGCAACTCGGAACTAGTTGAAGGAGCTGCAAGGACAGTTGTAGCCAGCAGAGGTCTCCATCCACTTTTAAGTGATCATTTTCCTTCTGTGTCAATGTTTCTAAGAAATCCTAAATCCTAAATGCCATGAGCTGCTCTGGTGTTTCACTCTGACATCGTCCTCGAAGCCTCTCTCCAGAAACTATTCTTTCATTGAGGAAGAAAGAGTGCTCAGCACAGGATTTTGCTCTCCCTAGATGGGATAGAGCTACCGTTTCTGAGTTGACCCCAAGAATGTGGTGTGGGATCTTGGTGATGAAGGGATTGCAGTAACATTTTGCAACTTAGAGTTCAGTATCAAAAAGGCTATGCTCTGATCAGTGTAGACCAGCCGTGGGCAAACTACGGCCCGCGGGCCGGATCCAGCCCGTTTGAAATGAATAAAACTAAAAAAAAAAAGACCGTACCCTTTTATGTAATGATGTTTACTTTGAATTTATATTAGTTCACACAAACACTCCATCCATGCTTTTGTTCCGGCCCTCCGGTCCAGTTTAAGAACCCATTGTGGCCCTCGAGTCAAAAAGTTTGCCCACCCCTGGTGTAGACAATGGCCAAAATCCTTATTGTGCCTTGGGAATTAGCATGTACCGAGACAGAAACATATTTAGCCTGACAAGAAGAAATTGCATGTTCCCCATGACCTTAGATGTGATAGTGAAGCAGCCATAATGTGAAATACAGGGCTAGAGCCTAAAGTAAGTAAGAGCTGTCGTTAAGGTAAGGTTTTTGAAGAAAAGTACAACTGATGGCTCTGTTATCTACCCCTGAAGGGCAACAAGAGTGCTGGCATACAAGGCATTGGACAAGCTAAGGGTGGCTTATTATTTGTTGTTGTAGTTTTGTGGGTAGGTTAAAAGCCAGTCCCTTCAATTAGTAGAGGATAATAGTTAAAACAGTATCAATCAGCCTTTTATTGTCCTATGAGCTAAATTAACTAGTTGATTAATTTAGTGAAACCCTAATTAAGTGTGGGGTTTTTTTCAAGGGAAGATGATAGGAGATGATAAAAAAATCTGTGATCCTCACTCTAAAAGGCCTAACAGTCATCTTGTGGACATATGGGTATGAGCACAAAGAACGTTGAGGAGATGGTGCAGATTTTCTAAAGTACATTAGGGGTCTGAAATGGAAGGAAGAAGATATGGGGTAGGGATCGATTTATTGGAGAGGTGGCATTTGTGGAAGGCTTTAAAGATGGAGTGTCCCATCAACCATCTTTCTCACAATGGAAAGCAGGAAGAAGTGTGCAACTAAATACTTTTCTATAGTCAAATGGAACATTCATATCCCCAGTCTCTCTTGAATCACAATGAAAAAGAAAGCAATCGAGGATCTTGGAAGGCTGGATAGACACTAGACTGGATAGTTAGAAATGTTTGTGTAGATAGGGAGGAAGGTGTAAATGGATCCCTAGTTTTATCTATTGAGTGGAGTTTCCAAACATTGTTTTATTGGTCAGTGGCTCCACCAGTAGTGACCTCTAACCTCAGCCACACTAGGAGGTGGAAGTCAGGAGCCTGCCTTGCCTTTGAACTCTTCTTTGTACTCAGTTGACTCGGAGCCTTTGAGGTGGCAGAAACATTCAGCATCTTCTTTTCTCTCTCACCTTTAATGCTTGGGTACGTTAAAATATTAGTTTTTCTTCGGTCTATTGCACTGACTCACTCAGTTTGCCTTCATATTTCCCTACCAGGCATACCAACTATTTGGGCTGCAGAGGCATTCTTGAACATATAATGGGCTGATTAGGAACAAGAAAAAATGCTTCTATTTAAGAGAATAAAACCCCAGGCATGTGGTACCATCACCTACCAGGGCAGAGTTAGGCCTGGTGGTGGTAAAGGAGAGAGCGGAACAGACCTCAGAACAGCAAGTGTGTGTGTACTTATTCCCAGGAGCATCCCTAAAACTAGGCTCTCATTTTATCTTATTTATACATAATTTCAACACATTGAATTATCTGATTTCCATAGCCATAGTATAAAAATCACAAATTTGAAGGGGTGAGAGACTAAAAGTGAGGGTCTCTGAGATGGCTCACCTGTCAGTTTAGCATAAACTGAGAAAGTGGAAAACCTATTTTAAAAATATATCTCTTGCCTGGCTGGGGTGACTCAGCAGTTGAGCATCGACCCAGGAACCAAGAAGTTGTTGGTTTGATTCCCAGTCAGGGCACATACTGGGGTTTCAGGCTCAATCTCCAGTGGGGGCACATGCCGGAGGCAACTGATTGATGATGTTCCTATCTCATCGATGTTTCTATCTCTCTATCCCTCTCCCTTCCTCTCTCTCTAAAAAACACAACAGCACAAGTCAATAAAAACATTTAAAAAAATGGATCTTTTTGCACATGGATATACTGCAGGCAGCTTTGCAGGCTTCACTCCATCACTATGCTCGAGGTGTATCATTGTAAGATGGCAGAATCCTTCAATTCAAAGAAGTACATATTTGTTTGTGTTACATATTTTAGATTTCTGACATCCAAATGATTTTCACCCCGAAAACATTGAACATAGGTCTTTTCCTTCCCCCTGAAGCTGTTATTGAGGTAGTATCTTAAAGTGTAGGAAATACAGAAATTGATATTCCTTGTGATGCCCTTGAATCTTTAAGCAGAGGTTTAAATTGTTTAGTATCCTATATAATGAAAGGCTAATATGCAAATAGACCGAATGGCGGAACAACTGAACAACCGGTCGCTATGACGTTCACTGACCACCAGGGGGCGTGTGTGTGGAACATGGCAGACAGCGGCCGTGGCGGGACGGTGGAGCAGGTGAACGGGGGCACCAAGGCTGGGTGCCAGTTACTGTCATCGGGGCGAGCCTCTGGTGATTACCGAAAATTCTTTGCTCCTGCGAGCCACGGTCCTGTCCAGAGCTTGCACCTGCTGCCGGCACCTGGCGCCGGTCCTGATCGCTCAGTGCCATCAGTGGGTCTGAGCGGCGGCTGCTGGCCCTGATTGCCCCTGAGGGCTTCTCCATCTCCCCCTGCTCCTGAGGGGTGATTGGGGCAGAAGCTGCCTCTTGCACCTGCTGATGGCACAGAGCAATTGGGACTGTTGCCAGGTGCTGCAGCGGGTGTGAGCGGTGGCTCCTGCACTGGCTGTGGGTGCGAGCAGAGCTGGCACCATAAGTGCATGGGAGTGGTGGCAGCCAGAGTGGGCCTGCCAGCAGGGAGGGGACCGACGCAGGAGGGGTCGGGAGGTGGCACGGAGGATGGGTTGAGACCCACCCCTGTGCCCACCGCAGACTTGTGGCCCACAGTTCCTTTCAAGATGCACAAATTTGTGCACTGGGCCCCTAGTGTGTGTGTGTGTGTGTGTGTGTGTGTATTTATTTATTTTAAAATATTGGCTCATGTATTTTATAAAGTTTTCTATCTAATTTTTTTATTTTTTAAAAGTGTTTTTGTGATTCATTTAAAGGTATCTCACTACGCTTTAAACAGAGTAGTGAGATAGCTAGTTGGAAGAGTAAGGTGAAGTTTTCAATGTGAAAAAACAGGATAAAGAGACATTAAGTAATCCTCCCAAGACCACACAATATGTGAGGGACAGACAGGGAGCCCAACCTATTTTGCTGCCCACAAATTATTCAAATCACTGTGTGGCCAGGATTGAGACTGAAAATCAGGATGAACTTCCCAGTGATTCAGACTAACTGCTTATTAGATAGTCTTTAAAAAGTTATTACTTGAGACATTTAGATTGGACACATCCCTGGAAATATATTGTAAAGACTGTGGAAAAGATTTCACTTCTAATTTCCAGAATCAATATTGTAATGCCTGTCATTCTTATCCCCCCAACTGTGAAAGTGAGAAATTTTTAACTGAACTCTCAAGGCTTTTAAAAAATGCCTAATATTCGTGCCTCCCTTTCTCCCCCATACTCCAGTCCCAACCTGCCACTCCAAGCTGTTTCCCAATCTCTGCTTTCATACTTGCCCTGAAGAAAGGTATTGGATTGCTTACCCTTAAACAAAACACATTGACCTGATCCTGGAGTTCTTCCTGTGAAACAGACAACCATGGTTCAGATACAGAGTCCGCTCCTTGGCCAGTGGGAGAGCCATGGGGATGAGTGTAACCACTTCATGGGATATTTTGAATTTGGTAATACTTTTCCAGAGCGCTGTGTACTCTGTGTTTGAGTTTTTCTGAAGGCATAAATCCATACTG